CCTGAGCTATTTCTCCATAATTTAAGTCCGCATATGTTACTCCTTCTTGGAGTTAAAGTCTTACCTTCTTAGCAAAAGACTTCGGAAGTCCAGATACAAACCTTTCTTTTTGGTCTCCTTATCTATAGTTTTAGTCATATAGTATATCTATCCCCTGAGCTATTTCTCCATAATTTAAGTCTGCATATGTTACTCCTTCTTGGGGATGAAGTCTTACCTTCTTAGCAAAAGACTTAGGAAGTCCAGATACAAATCTTTCTTTGTGGTCTCCCTATCTATAGTTTTTAATCGTATAGACATTTTTATATAATCTATATTCAAATAAAAATTTATAATAAAGATAATGTAACAAAAATCTATTTTTTCATCGATATCTTCATTTTTTCTTCAAAATTATGAATTATAGTAATAATTAAAGTATTTACTACATCTTGAATAGTTTGAGTTTGCTCATTTTTTATAGATTGTCCATTTGTATTTGATTTTATATGAGTTAGTATAAATGATTTTATCTAACCTCTCATAAATAATGATCCCACCAACCTTCAAGATGCCCTTCAAAATCTTTCTATTACGATCTTTGATATAACATGATCAAATCTTTCTATTACAATCTTTGCTATAACATGATCACTATTATCTGTTATGATACAAGAATTTGAGAGCATAGTCATATTACAACAAACATCCAGTATCCGATATTTAGATAGTCCATCAATATTATATTTTAGGATAGCATCCTTGCAAATGACATGGAAGTTATATGACCCTTCTTTTCAACTTGTATGTCTATTACAGTAGGTCTTTTGATAATAATTTTTTTTCTAGAGGTTTGAGTAACTAGGTTAGATTTAGAAAATGCAACTTATATGAGCTTAAAGGGGCTACTTTCTATCTCTTTTACCAATTAGTTCGTTTGCATATTTAATATTGAATATTTCGATAGTTTTCTTATTTTAATATTCATTCTCTTTGATAATGAGATTAAATTATACGATTGCTTCTAAAATAATTTATATTATAAAATTTTAAATATTTAATATTATTAAAATTTTCTAATAGATATGCAATTTGTACATTCTCTGGTAGATAAAGCTCTTTATCTTATATAATATATTTAATATTTATTTGTTTTATTGTTTGTTCACTTTCATATGACGCCTATTTTCATTCTTTTATCAGATAAAGAGTAAAAGTTTTCTTTTTTTATAATTGTTAAAATTATTAGCATAATGTGAGTTTATTTTATTTTATTAGTAGATTAATGAAAAAAAAGAAAGAAAACTAGTTTGATATTCTATATTAATAGTTACTATTGTTATAACTATAATTAATTATTAATATACAAATACTCTACAATTATTACTATAATATATAGTATGATATGATTATTACAATTTATTGGATTATTATTATTATTATTTATCGTATTTATTAATAAATTATCCTCAAAATATACTTATATGATATTATGATTACAACGATAGCATTTTGATAATAATACTAATAATAACAATTAATATGTATAATCATAATGAAAATAAACTATCGATACTTCCAAACAAGAAATATTTATGACATTTTTATAGTTTTAGTTGTTAAAAGAATATTATCTTGGCATGACTACAGAAAAAGAAAAGTAGCTTTCTTTCATTTTTATTTTTATTTTGTGGAATTTATAAATTTAACTATAAGTTTTTGTACATTACTTGATTTACTCAATTTATCTTAGCATAAAGAGGTATGTTTTATGTTTCTCTATTAATTATTTTCCGTGTATTTTTATTATTAAATATTTTCATATCTTTAATTTCTTTTTGCTGACTATTCTCTTTGATAAAGAGATTATAGGATCCATTTAAAATACTTTTTATTTTCAAATCTTGAATTCTTTATGTTGTTAAATTTCAATCGTAACTCATTTTGTTATGTTGTAAAGAGATTTTAATATAGGTGTGGTTTGTATAAGGCTGAGGCCCCAAAAAAATCAAAGTAAGACGTATCTTCAAATAGTATAAAAGATATCATTTTAGTACCAAAAATATTAATGATGGCCTAAAAATTTATTTTCATTTCTAATTATAAAATTAAAGCTTAAAAAATATTGTAGATCAAGCATATTTATTAATACTTGAAAATCTTGAAAATTGACGGTCTAAATAATGCATTACAAGATGTATTATTTCCAATTCTTGAATCCTTTTTTTTTAGCACTTATGTATCTCGAGGTCGAGATGATCAGATTTGAAGGTTTTCTGGCATTGAAACAACTCCTTTTAGTGAATTTTTAATGTGCACCTTATTTTAATTGTTTAGAGCTTCAACTTCATATAAAGTTATTCCTTTTAATATAATATTAATAGGAATAATCTATAATTCCAAACCCTTCAAATTACAAAGGTTAATGTTAGAGTAAGTTGTGAATGGTGGATTTATTAATTATGTAGTTTTTTTTTTTGAAAAATTAATTTTTTGAATATCTTCCTCATTAAGTAAGGGTATTTGTACAAATATCATTGAAAGACAATTGATACTTTTGTCATCTTTATAAGGGGTGTAAAGTTCATTAAAGATAAGGGTACTCTACAAATAAAAGTTTAGGATACTAACTTGTAAATATCATTATATTTTTATAAAAGTTTCAAAAATTTCCTCACTTAATGATTAAGTAATATAGTAAAATAGTTTTTAAATAAAAGACAATATTTGTTTAGGGAAAATATCCCCTTATTCCCTATTTTTCACTTCTATATCTCATGAGACCCAAGAATTAAAAATATTAGTTGTAAGTCAATGTGCTCTCATACTGACCCAAGAATTATTTTAAGAATTAAAAATAAATCGTGGCCAGAGAGGAGGGAAGCGTATTTTGCCAATGACTTTGGCGGTCCTTTGGCATATGCTAAGGTAGTGACAGGAAAAGTGACAATAAGATGATAAAAGAATAAAAAAAAAAAGATAAAACATTTGTATTTGTTAGAGAAGAGAGAAGAAAGAGAAAGAGTTTAGAGAGAGAAAGAGATAGGGACTCGATGGAGAAGAAAGGGGAAGCGAGGAGAAGCAGGCACAATTTAACGGCCGCAAGACAATCCAAGACTTCTCCAGTGGTAAAGCTCATTTCGGTAAAACACAGAAACTGGTTCCTAAAAACCATGGATTCTCAATTTCTAGAGAGGAGAAAGGGACGTTGTAAGCAAAGGACTTTCTATGCAACTTTGGGTTTTAGAGAGAGAGAGTTTTGAGAGAGATAAGAAAAGTTTTAATAGGATGTCATTGTAGTGTTTTTTTTTGTCACAATTTTATGGTCAAATGGGTTTAAGGGGTTGTAAGATAGAAAAGATGAAGACCTTTTGCTTAGAAGTAATATTTTCAATCCTTAAGTCTCATGATATATGGAAATTAAAAATAGAGGAAAAGGAGATATGTTCTTATTTATTTATAAATATATCCATCACAACTCATTTTAACATTAATCTTTGTATCATTCACTCTAGACAAACCTATATAAATATCATAAAGAATTTTTTTTGAAGATTTTTTAATACTTTAATTTATGACAAATTCTCAAATTTTATAATATTCTCAAATCGTTCAATTACTTGTAGTCATTGGCTGGTTTTAGATTCCATAAAATGCTTTTTATTAATGAAGATTATTTATCTACATTTTAAGTACCCTACTTTTATGATTTCTTTCCCTAAATAAAAAATAAAGTAACCTTTATAATATAAAGATTAAAAAAATGGATGTGGTTTGTATAAGGTCAAGGCCCTAAACAAATCAAAGCCCCACCTTCAAATAGTATTGAAAGATGTTGATAATAGAAATTTTTGATGGCTTAAAATTTATTTTCATCTTGATTTTATAATGATTCGAAAATAGTATGAATTGATTAGACCTATGAACACTTGAAAACATGAAAATTGACAGTAAAAAAATGCATTACAAGATGCACTATTTTCAATACGTAAAATCCATTTTTATACATCTTGAGGTCGAGAGATCACTTTGAAAATTTTTAAGCATCAAAACAATTTTTTTAGTGAAATTTGATTATTTAGAACCTCACCTTAAATTTTTTCTAGAAAAAATTAAAAATAAAAACACATAACATGCACCTACGTTATTTTGATGAGAAATTTGGGGGATTTGACCTTTAAAAAAAAGTGTTGAATATGAGATGGATGACAGATAGGCTGTAACACCAGCCCAAACACGACTGTCCTACCAGCCACACGTGCTATAATTCCTTTTTTACCCAAACGACCTCCCTCTCCACACCAAATATCAATAATACGGCCCCTATGGGATCCCGCACGAAGCCTTTCAATTGGACGCCCAAAAGACCTCAACCAGCGCACCGCAGCGCAGTTTCGCAAGTTTTTCGGGGATACCGAGAACGGAACCGTAACATGAATCCATATGAGCATTTATACCCATAATGCCCCTAACAAGTCCGAATTTTTTTCATCGTCCAGGACCATGGGTGCAATTGGCATCGTAGGCGTAAAGGTAAGGCGCACCTTCAAATTTTATCATGATATATAATTTTGATGTAAAATATTGTTAAAATTATTTCAAAATTTATTTTTATATTTAATTATAGAATTTTAAATCTTAAAAAATAGTTAAAATCAAGTAGATCCATAAACATATAAAAATCTTAAAAATAGACGGTATAGATAATATATTATAAAATATACTATTTTTTATATTTAAATTTTTTTTATTTTTCATGATCATACATCTTGACATTGAGGTGATCAAAGGTTTTACAACAATAACACTACTTTTTTCTGATAGATTTTCGATGTGCATCCGTAATTTATTTAAAGTTGCATCCTTATATTAACTTTTCCTAATACGAAGGATAAAGTTGTTTACAATTTGTAGTTAAAGTCTCACTTTGTAAAAAAAAGAGGGCATATAAGGTATTGCAGCCGGAAACGGGGTCAGTGCAGATATTTTTTCCGCTTTATAAATTAGGGTTTCCTATCCTCTCTTTTTCTTTCTTGGATACTGAGAGAGAAGGTTCAGAGAGAGAGAGAAAGAGATACCAGGCATAGGGAAAGGAAAAGGGCAGGGGTCTCAGAAGCCGAACCGCGCATGCCTGAGCGGCTCCGGCTCCAGGTTAGGAGCCAGGCCCAATTCAAGACAATCAGAGCCATAACCAAACCCTAGCAAGCAATGTCAAAGCCATGGGGTGGTGGCATCACCTCATGGGCTGCGGAAACGGAGCTTGCTGAAGCTGAGGAGCAGGAGCAGCTCGAGCTCCAGCGTGCTGCGGCCGCCCCTGCCGAGCCGAGCTTCCCAACCCTCAGAGAGGCCACTGCCTCGAAGCCGAAGAAGAAGAAGCAGGTCCTGTCTCTTTCTGAGTTCGCAACTCGTTTGAGTTTGGCTCCTGGTTCAAGAAGGGACTATGAGGCCAAGGGGTTAACGGCTGATGAGTTGATGAGATTGCCCACTGGCCCTAAAGAAAGGTCACAAGAGGAACTCGAACAAGGTAGGTTAGGTGGTGGGTTCAGGTCTTATGGCACAAGCTATGGGCCAGGCTCAAGTCGAGGTGGGGGACGAGGATTTGGTAGAGACAGAGGGGATGACAACAACGAGGGGTCATGGAGTAGTGGGAGAAGGGCATTTGGCCGAGGGTTTGATGACGAGCGGCGGTCATCTAGGGTTTCTGATTTTGAGCCTCTGCCTCCATCAAGAGCAGATGAGGTTGATAGCTGGGTGGGCGCCAAAAAGACAGTTCTCCCTCCCCCTGAGCGGCGTAGTAGTGACCACCGGGTGGGGTCTCGAGCTGATGAGGTGGACAATTGGCTCTCTGCAAAGAAGACGACAGCAGCACCACCAACGCGATCAGATCGATGGGGCGCTCGAAGGGAATTGGACTCTGATGTTGGGGGCCGGCCGAGACTTGTGCTCGACCCTCCTCGTGGGGAGGTTTTCATCATGGAGGAGCCGGTGAGGGCTCGGCCAAGCCCTTTTGGCGTGGCGAGGCCGAGAGAGGAGGTGTTGGCGGAGAAAGGGGTGGATTGGAGGAAGATGGAGACTGAGATTGAAGTGAAGAAGGTCGGTTCACAGTCAGGAAGTAGGCCAGGGAGCTCACAGTCAAGCAGGCCGGGGAGCCCAGGGGCGGATACTGGTGTGAGGCTGAGGGCAAGGGTGAATCCATTTGGGGATGCAAAGCCAAGGGAGGTGCTGCTGCAGGAGCAAGGCAAGGATTGGCGGAAGATGGATTTTGAGCTCGAGCATCGTGGGGTTGGCAGGTTTATTACCCAACATTTCATTATCTTCCATCCAAATATTTCTAGTGATACTTGTTATATTTGCTGTCTTATGATGTGTTATGTTATTTCTCTTCTTTTTATTGGTTTGGTTTGAATGGATTGGCACATATTCGGCAGGGGATGTGGGATCAATCCTCCTTGAATTTGTTTTACATTATAGGATACATCTTGAAGATTAACCTACTGAAAGAACAATGGATGAGGTCTTTATCTTTAATGGGTGTTTGTATGGTTTTCTTACTTGTTACTGTGGTTAATAGGCTCCTACAATTATGTTTGTTGTGTTTTGGTGTTTCTTATTTATGGATTGGTGTGTATTGAAAGATTTTTGCTTTTTGCTTGTGCTAGGTGTTGTTTGATGGGAAGGGTGGAAGCAGGGTAGATATTGATTAGGAAATGAAGTTCCTAGAATTTAGCTTATCAGCTTGCCCTTGCAAACTTATTTGTAGGAACATCAATCGTAATTCTACAACCAGCATTCCCTTAGATATCTGTGTTGATAAAATGTCTCATCTCCCTCTCCCTGTCCTCCATACTAATGCTTCCTTCGTATTTCCAGAGAGTGGGACGTAAACTTTGATTATAATTTCTACCTATTCTTCATTGTAAGTTGAATGGGGTCATAGTTTATAATTCATGAATCTGTTCAGGTTTGATAAAACTGGAGATGACTTCCAGCTATGTAAAGGGTGTAACTAACCTTCGCATGATTAAATATTATCAATTATTAGTATCTCCATGATTTTTAATTATAACATTAAGGATGGTTCACTTTTCTAACTTGCTTCCTCTTGTGAACTTGGGGGTACTTATAAATTTATATCTCTTTGAAGTGGGTGATTTGTTTCCTCTATGATCATAAGGTGGAGTCAGAGGCATGTTGGTTTAAGGTTTAAGGCCACCACACCTGGTCTCCTTGTCATTTGCCTGTCTGATATTTGAATTGTAGGTGGCTAGTTTGAGCTTATTGCTTTATTTGTTTTCATGGCTACCATGCCTCTGAATGAATACGTGGCTGATAAGATGCTACATTCATTAATATGAGATGTAGTGATTCTAATGGTTGTTTTTGTTTTGTTGATTTTATTTGATCTTGCAGATCATATATTTTGTTCATGTTTACTCCTTATGTCTTTTTCACCCCATACTAGCCTTGGTGTTTGTCTTGTCACGAGAAGTCAAATGATACAGTGCTGCTTACCTTCATTCATTCACTGTGGGGTTCCATCCAGTTCTCAATTAATCTAATGGGTGGTGGCTAAACTATCTACTGTGGAGTACTGTTGTAAATTGATTACAGGGGCTGGACGTGTGACTTTATTGCATGAGCCTGGTGCTTAGGGATAGGGTGGTTGCCCTGCTTCCAAATTTCGTACCCTAGCTTTCGCATACCCTACTCCTTCTAAATATAAATCTTCTATTGACATTCTTCTGTTCCTCACCTGCTAGCTGTCTTGGTAAGTGTATTTTCAAGTTATGGTATTTTGGAGGTCTTAATGGGGTGTTTCTAGGTGTGTTTTTGAGTTTAATTGATGTTGTAGGTGTCTGTTTGCTCTTTGATATGAGAGATATTTTGTTTGTGTAGTCCTTTCTAAACTATGTCTCAACATGTAAATATGAATAAATGTGGTTTTCTTGGAATTCACTTCTGATTTGAATCTAGCACAATTTGCCAATCCATAGGGTGTGAGACCAAATCCTTCCCTTGTAGATACGTTGTTATGTGTTTGGTTTGGAGTGTCAATAGATGCAATCAGTGTTCAAAAAGGCGGAGGTGGCTGCCTAAGCGGCCAGGTCATCCCTAAGTTGTGTGTACAACTCGGGCATATAAAATAATTGAAAATAAAAAATGCGAAAAATGTGGAAATGTTTCATAAACATTTCTTGTATGATTTAGATGTATTGGGAAAAGATTGGTGAGTGTTTTTTGCCATAATCACTATTTTTATATTTTCCTTCTTTTTTGGATTTTGAAAATGTCCCAAACTGTAAATCATTTTTTTAAATCCATTTTTCTCTAGTTTTTAATCTTGTCTTATCTTTTTAAGTTTGTTTTAGGTTTCATTTTACTTTTGACTATATTTTTCCTATTTTAATTATCAATGAAACTTGCAAATTGTACTTAGCCAAGTGGGAGGAGATGTGTAGGCCCTAATTTCATGGGGGTGTTGGGCTTTAGGCTAAATGGTTTGACCAATTTTGCATTATGGAGAAAATGGCAGTGGAGGATTGGGAGGGAGTACTCTGTGAATAAGGGTTATAGTAGTAAAAAAGTGGAGTGTAAATTAGGGGTGTAAAATTCTGTCTCAAGTAGACAACTGAGGGTCTCAAAAACGTGGCTAGGAATTGCCTCTGTTGCCTTAGACTTTAGGGGGAGTGGGCAGGGGTGACCATATCTCTTTTGGATTGCTTATAGTGTGGAGACCTACCCTGTGGGGAGACTTTTTGTAGCTATCTTACTGACCAGGAGATTGAAAAGTTGTGAATGCTTCTGGTTTGTCTACAGTCTATTTGTATGCCACGAACGTTAGATGCAACAAGGTTTTCTGTTACTACACCCTTCCATGATACTTTGACACTGTATATAACTTGTTGCATTGGGATTTGCTTTCTCCCCCATGTGTACGATGCTTTGGCTGTTTGATGGTTTTAGATAAGGTGGTAACTAATGATTACCTACAACATAGAGGCTTTCAATTTCCTTAACATGTGCCTCGTGCATCCATGCAAATGTATCAGTCCATCTTTTGTTGATTCATTGTTAGTTTGTGGTAGATATTGGTGCCATTTCTTGGAGCTCTTTGGTGTTCAATAAGTTTTTCCTGGTTTGCGCCAAGAGGTTCTTTTAAAGTGGAGATCTTGTCCTTTGTCTCAAAATGTGAAACTTATGTGTCGCTCTGCATTGTAACGATATTTTGGGGCATCTGGCTTGACAGAAATAATAGGAGTTTTGAAGGTAAATATACAGGAGCTTGAAGGTGCAGATAGAGTGAGTGTATGGTCATCTCTTGGGCCTCAAAATGCACAAAATATTCATGTTCAAGTTTTGGATCAATGGTGGCAAGTTGTTGCACACAGTTGGATTACTATTAGCAAGGACCATGCTTGAGAGAACTGCCTGAAGGCGCCCGTAAGATGAACTTTGATGGTATCTCCTTTGGTAATCTAGGTCCTTTAGGTTTTGTGGGTGTCATCAGAGATCATCTGAGTATCTGAGGTCTGGCAGGCCATGGTGGTGCCAATGCCATTGAGGCAGCTGCCCTCTTTACCAAACTTAAGATCTTTTATCAATCGTTTTTGTGCCCCTTAATTATGGATGTTTATTCAGTAAATGCGGTTCAGTGGGTAGCAGTTCAGGCATGCTATCATGGAAGCTTGCTGGGAGTGTGTCAGGAGATTTTTGATCTGTGCAGGAAAGGGTTTGTCTTTACTCTTTATATCATACCCAGGGAAGGTTGGTTACTTTCTAGCGGGCTCTCAGAGTGGCAAATGACTTTGTTGACTCACTGGCTTGTGCTGGAAACTCAAGGGGTCTACTTTTCGACCCAATACACCCTTCATACTATCTCCACCTCCTCACTCTACATCCATTGCTCTCTACCCTGTTTGTGTCTCTTCTCTTTCTACATTGCACGCGTAGCTTGTATGCTCTGGCTTGGAGTATCTTGCTGTAATCGTCTTCAATACTGCTATTTGGGGAAAAACAAAATGTCTCAAAAAGTGAAGTATTTTGTTAAGACCATTCTTGAGCCTTAACTGTTTTGCTCTTTCCCTCTTCCTTAAAGGGTTAGTTCTCTCTTCAGTGAACTAAGAATTAGGCAGGAACATCATGAGATGAAGTAGCTGAGCATCCAAGAAAGATTTTTCTACCAGACAGAAAAAAGTCTACATCATGGTTAAATATATCTGGGTATTGTTTTTTATGGATGTTTGGACATGGATTGTATTATATGCTAGCCAATCTTCCTGTATATTAGCTACTCAGCTATGCACGATTCCTTCTCTAATCTTATGCCACTTGGAAGATAAATCTTCCGATGCAACTAGTGTTTTGATGAAAAAATTTGGAGTTTTTTCCACTGCCATTGCATTCATATATGATGGAGGGTGATGTGTGAGAAATCAGTTCCACTAGAAATGTAATAATAATGTTTTATCCCTTTGTTTTGTAAAAACATAGTTTTGACATGTAAAAGGATATATAATTTAGTTTTGTTTGATTACATTTTAATTTGACCATGATATAAGTCTCTGTCGATATGGAGAAAATGCTGATTCACTGAAATTCCGGCCCTTGATATTTGTTATTCTTTGCATTCGGAGGCGATTGCTCTCCTCGATGGTCTCAGTTTCTAAGTGCTAGTACAGATATAGTGGTGGAGGGTGATAGCCTGAACGTTTTAATGGGAGAGGAAGAAAAGAACAAGAATACCTTGGTGGCTTTAAAGGAAATTTGACAAATTTTTTAATGGCTTTCTGGCTATTTCTCTTTTCATCATGTCTATCAAGGAGTGATTGTTCTATGATTGTTCTATCTATTTGGAGCCAGGAAGTTCTATTCATTGAGCTGTTGCCTTCACATCTCTTTGACTCCCCATTTTTGTTTTTGATTTTCCAACTTTTTCGATAGAATTTATATTGATCTTTCACCAAGGATAAGTAGATACGAGACTGACTAGTTGCAATTTTGTGAAGGGTTCACCTTAAAATATGACTTGAGCTGGAAGGAACATTTAGTATTTTTGACAAAATCTCTTCCTTTTTGGATTGTTTCTGCATAATTTATGTGATAAAAATTGGCTGTTTTATGAATTTGATTTTCACCAAGAGGACTTATAGAGATGAATGCATGACGCAAACATGAGTTTTAACTTTGTGATGGTTCTAAAGGAGCCAAACGTTCTTCACCATACGAAATAAAGCTCTTGGGGTTGGAATGAGACCTTATTGAAGTTGGTGACTATATGGAATTTTGTGAC